GATGCGTTTACCATCAGCAACACCTCCTTTAGACAATATTGACACTTAACACCAAGACTTAAAGGTGGTAAGCATAAAAAACTGGTTATTAAGAGTCCGACCAATGACGGAATGTTGGAATTGAAACTGCTTTTAGATGAATTTTTCTAATTAGGTCCATAATATATCTGCGTTCTGCATCCATGGATATCATTTATAAAGAGATTGGGCGTAAATGCTTGGTTTAAATTATATTTTTATAATGAAGCACTATGGTACAACAGAAAAGTAATAAGATGTATATAATATTTTCAGCTTAGATACATTAAGAAGTAGCAAAACGGCCGAACCATATGTTTGAATAAAATGTAGTGTTTGAAGCTTGGCTCTACCCGAGATCTAATAAGTTCTTGATAGTGCGATTAGAATGGTCCCAGTTCTTTACATGAAAATGTTTTTGGTGATCATATTTTCTTCTCATTGTTGCTTATAAACATAAGAACATCGTCAAAGAAAAGGCCTCAATGGAAGTTGATAATTAACATTATTAAATATATGTATGTAAACTCTAGATTTTAGCCAGAACTGAATATCAAATAAGAGAGATTGTCTGATTTATTTGTTATAGAAAGGAGCTTTTTCGTGTTTGTCTTTTACAAAAGTTTAAAATAAAGTACGTAAATGAAACAGATATGCTACAACCAGAATAAAAGTACAAGACAAAATACGACTTCTAATAATGCAAAGTCAATGTCACTTGCGTATAATCTAGCTTTCCGTAGGTGAAAAAAAATCATAATCGTTTAAGTATTTTCGAAGATTACTCCTACAAACAAACACACAGTTAGAAACTTTACCTCTTTATAATATTGAGTGTAGATGTTACGCTCAAAGATCGAAATCGATCGAAAAAATACTTCACAACGTGTTCTGGAATTCGCAGAATAACCATACAGCGAAGTCCGTGTCTTGGCTGACATGCTATTCGACCTCAACGCGTTGTGGCAATGAAGAAAAGCCATGACGCGTTCTGATCTGAGCATAAAATGATTTTGATCCATTTCCCATTCATAATGCTATACTGGGAAATATTCTTAATGAAAAATACTTAAAAAATCCACTTGGTCCCTGGCACTTTAAGATGGGGTTCAAACCCATAACGTATAGCATTATGAATGCGAAATTGATGAAATAAATTATGAAGTAAATTCTGATAAATTTATGACAGAAAACAGATAACGTGGAGTCAAATGAAAAATATAAGTACTAGACTGGTTTTATATATTTTTCTCACCAATTTAAAATAAGAGGACATATTTCATTTTAAAATATTGATAGAATACTAAATTGATCAAATATAATAATAAGATCAAAATTTCATCTTTATCGGAAGTTTAAATATTTGTAAAAATATTTCTTTTGACTGTTTGGGTGGATTGCCTGAACATTGATGAGAATACGCTCTGTACCAGCGAAAAAGTAACAAGTGCTTGAAAGATTCGTCAGTCCTGTTAGGTCCAAAGTGGCTCAGCGGTTAAAGCAGTCGTAAGAATATTTATTGGTTTAGCTATCAGTTTCATTTCAGCACCAATTTAACTATCGATATACAGTACAACACAAGCATTATTATAATTACAATTTATAATAGATTAATTTGCAGAAATCGTTCCTAAATTCAGCGAACTTCCTTCTAAGAAAGCTGCGTGTCTTAATCATTGTCTGCACAACACCAGTTTTAGCCTCACAAATAATCCTTTGATTAATTAAAATCAACAATGGCCGAAGCGTATGTGAATTCATAAAGCGTTAGCCGGCTAATTCATGCTGAGGTGGACTCATTGTGTTGGGATCATAACGGTGTGGTGTTATAGCGTCTTATTGTTCGGCTGATGCCCTTTGACCGACAGTGGGCCATATATCCATCCCATTATGTGATCTTGAATAACGCCCGGTGTTATGTTCGGCGACACACGGTGAACAAGAACGGACAATACAAATAGTGACTACGATTTTTTTTATCGGGCCGTAATCAATGCTGATAAAATTTTTACTTTGTTAATGAGAGAATTATATAAGAGTTATAAAATAGCAACGATATAATAGTATTGGTGTATCAATTACAATCTAAAAAAATGTCACGTCAAACAATATCTTGGTACTTTACTAATTACCTATCTATAATATCTTCATACCGTATCACTTGCGGGGTAAGCAGAGCGTATGATATGACTAATGATGACATTTAATAACTAATTACTTCCTTGTTGCTAGATTTAAAATTTTAGTAAATTCAATATTTGTTATGTTACAATAATTATTGTTTTTTATATATATTTTGGAAATATAGGTATATTAGACGATATCACATACTTGTTTGCATATCATAAGTTAACAATTATACTTTGTGTAATGAAAATCTGAATTACAACCCAAGTGAGGCATCGGATTCGAGACCACAACAGTGACAATTGAACAAAAATTGTTTTATGAACGTTACGACCGTGTTTTCGTATTCAATTCGACAATTAAGATTCCTTGCCTCATTGTAATTACACCTATGCGGGTTTCTTAATGAAGTTTAAAGGGAATTAATTATTTTAGGGGGCATAAATTTAATCTAGGCCGGCCTTTACTTATGACGGTGGGCCTCAAGTTCATTACTTGGTTATCTTCGTGGAATAATCTTGGATAACTGATGTTTTGTATAGAAATACGTTTAGTTATTATGTTATTGAAATTAAGAAAAACATACTTTTATATGTTCTTTCTTTATTGATGAAATTTAAGAAGTTATCAGATGGTTTCATCTTATAAATGTCATCTAGTTAATATTAATGTTTTTTTCATACCTACTATCGACTAACCTCCGTTCCAAACACATGCATAATAAACTTATCTATTAGATTAATCTATTAGACTAATCTATTACATTGTTTATATTCCATAATGAATAGCAAAAGCTCTCGTATGATGAAGTATCTGAGGCAACACCCAAACACGAATGAATATAGAAAACTTCAATTTCTATATTGATCCGAACGGAATCGAACACTAGGTCCTTAGAGACAACGATGCATGGAAACCGGCTCGCGAAACACTTGGCTACGGGGTTCTTCTATAATTTCTAATTAATAATACTAAATAAATTGTAACGCTTTCAATAACTTATCGTAATACTTTAGTTAATTTGGACAAAAACCTAAAATTAATGTCTTAGGGCGCTTGTGCACTACACTGAATTTTCATGTCCGGCGGTCCTATTTTTTCAGGTCCGATATGTCAGGCCATATATAGGTAATACTAGCCTGTGCACTGTCAGGAATTTTACCCTCCAGGATTTTACTTTTCTCTATTCCGGACCGGTTTTTTCAGGTCCGTGATGGCGGCAATAAAAACGTGTTTACGCTTGTGCACTGCTGTGTCCGCGATCCGGAAAATTCATAAGGAATAGGCTTGGGAAAAAATAATCGATTTGTGTATAATCGATTTCGGCGATATTGTTAATTTCCAATAAACTTATAATCGATATTTATTGTAGATTTATTGTAGATTATAAAATACTATATACAATAACAATAACTCGGTATAGTTTGAATTTATTTATAATTTGATCAGCGTATGGTTCTAGTATCGATGCTTAGCTAGATTTTAGAATCGTATTAAAAGTATCGATAACTTAAGGTAAGATAAATAATTGTTGTTACGCTTAGACGCCTAAACAACTGAACCCATCTTAATGGAAATTAATATAGTAAATAGACTAAACTTTAAGAAAGAACATAGAAAGGCTACATTTTATCAGGAAAAATAGGGGATGAAATTTTGCCTGGAAATTTGTCATTATCGAATTTTTTTAGACAATTGATAAGTATAGGTAAATTTTTGATAACAAGTAATAATAAAGAATAAACAGAAGATTAACAGAAATTATTAAGTGACACTCAATGTCTTTTTCGCATTTAAAAAAATGTGAAATGACTGTTTGTGTCATTAATAAATTAAAAAATAGAAGTATTCTAAGGGAAAATATTTCTGCTCAAAGAAACTACACCACGCGTATAAAATTATGCCTATATATAATACAGTCAACTGATCTCGTAAAGTTCATTTAGCATAATAATTCTCCGCTTACACGGCACTAATCTCGATTTGTTTACGAAATACCGATTGGTCTATCTCTGTAATAGTTTAAAGTTGTTTTTACAAAACTTCGAAAAAAAAAATAGCACGTTTATAAATTTAAACATTAAGTACTAGACCATTATCAGTAATTTTATTCTAATGTCACAGATATTTTTATTATGTGAATAATGCTATTCCTGAATTAGTAAAGGTATAAGTTTTTACATCTGATCGTAGTCATCCGATAGTAGTAAAAAAATGCTTTCGTCTTGCCATAATTTATTATGGTTTATGTAAAATAATCAGGTAATTATTTAGGTATCTTTCTACGTCTTCGAACGCCATTACCGACGTTCCAAAAATCTCATCGTACTAGGTACGATGAGATTTTTGGAACGTCGAGTGACGTGTAGCTTCAAAGAGAACACGAGTGACCTGAGCTTCAAAGAGAGCTGCACTACAATGCGCCGCTCCAATCAGGAAAAAACGGACAAGTACACAAGCTACTCAGCCGGGTTTTTCATGTCATTCCGGACCGGAAAAAATCGGACCGCCGGATCTGAAAATTCAGTGTAGTGCACAAGCGCCCTTAAACTTTGCCAAAATATTGGTCAATCTGATTATTGGCCACCTTCATCATCAGTCTGTCAAAGAATCCACTAATGGGATACATGCCTTCCCTTTGGATGGAATCGAATTGAATTGGAAGCGTACTGATAATACGCGCGGACGCCCGATAATATATTGGGTAGGTACCTAATCTTTGAAAAGACAACACATCAGCTGGCCTTTACCATGCATGAGGAAGACCTGAGTAAGGTGGGGATATAAAAGAACTGATTGTGATGACATCAGCAAGAACATCTGAGCACTCAATTCATCGGACAGGTTAATTGTGAATTGACTTCACATTTGTTTAATAAACGTAATTAATAAAATGCTTAACATTTATTTAAATCCACCATCAAACTAAAAGGTTGCTTTTATTTTCGAAAGATATATATAAATTGACACAGATTCAGTTTATATGTATAAGAAGTAAGTAATAACTTTTCAAAAATACGAGTACCAATTAAAACCAAACTACATTCCTGACATCAACTGACCAATAGAAAATTCTATTAACAATTGATCGAAGATTAGAAAACAATTCGAACGTTTAAATTATTCTAATAGATTTTAACTACTTGGGCTTTTGAAAATAGTAAACTCTTCTTAGTTGGCATTATCTCATTCACAAAACTATCAATAATAAGTCTACGTATTGTCAACAAAATATTTTATTAACATAAATCTTATTTACGTCAACATGAGTCCATTGTCTGTCACATAATTCGATCCAGTTATACCTTTAGCGGAGTCGCTTGCTACAAACACAATCAATTCCGCCACTTCTTCAGGCTCTGACATCCTGTTTAAAGCAGTGGCTGCTATCGCGCGTTCCCAATTAGTTTCGAGACCAGAATTCAATTGAATATCAGTATTCACTGGTCCTGGACTAATGCAGTTAACTCTTACACCGTGAGCGGCTAATTCAACAGCTGCAGCCCTAGTAAATTGATCTAAAGCAGCTTTCGATACACAATATGCGACGTGTGCTTTGCCTTTAACACAGGAACCTAGAACACTTGAAATGTTGACGACATTACCTTTTGTTTTAACAAGATGGGGTGAAGCTAAGCTTGTTATGTGAACAGCAGCTCGGAGATTAACGTTCATGACCTCATCGAAACTTTTCATTACTGATCCGTCAACAACAAATCCGTATCTGGCGATTCCGGCGTTGTTGACGAGTACATCTAGTTTGCCGTATTTGTCGATGGTAGTTTTGATGATCTTTTTGGCTTCTTCATCATTGACAACGTCAGCGCGTATCACCAATGGCCTGTTGCCTAGCGCTGCGCATTCGGTTTCAACTTTGGCCAATTTTTCCTGATTCCTTCCAACTATCACTACTGACGCACCTTCTTGAGTGAAAAGTTTAGCTGCCGCCGCTCCTATGCCAGAACTTGCACCAGTTATTAGAACCACTTTATTTTGAAACTTCATTTCTATTTGATTTTTTATTCACACCTAATTGGATTGCAGATCAGCAGTGTACTCCTGTGGACACACCACAACGAATTGAATATTTATCTATTGAAAACTTATCAAAGTGTTGTTGTCAACAGTTATCGTGGAGCGGTTTATTTGATAAAAATATTGAGTTTAGGTTTAGCTAAACTTGTATTGATTTAACACTACCAAAGTCCATTGTAAGTTAGTATTGTAATTAATTGATAATCTTCAATAACTAACAATATTTTTACTATCATACATTTGTTTATTTCATGTCGAAATAACTTCATTCAAAAATTTTGAACTCCATGGCACAGTCGTTAGCTAGCTCAGTATGTTGTTTCAATGTGTGTTAAAAGAATTACACAATATAAAAATATTTAAATATTTTCCGACTAGTCGAGAAAGTAATTCAGTAGTAGCAGTATAGGAAGTCGTTAGTCGGCTATTATTTGGCAAAATAAGTCGATTTATAGTTTGGTTACAGTTAGATTATACGATCAAAAGTTTATTATATTAATTCATTTCTAATATGTCATTATACGTATGTGTCTATTTAGATTTAGGTATCGACATAATAACTATGTTGCAAAGATTAAGAGGTTATTACTGTTTTAAGAACTTTAAGAAAAATTCTTAAACAGATAATTTTTTTCTTAATTACTATTTTCTTTATAATTAAAAAGATAGTTAGAAAAAGATAAATTATCATATATGTGGGACCATTTACAAAGGTAGAGTCCGATCTCCGAAAGATAGATAAGAACATAATTAGAATGGTCGACTATAAATTTATCGACAATTTAACGATATATAATGATAGTGATATAAATAAGTATATTATTATAAACTAGCTGATTTTCCGTGACTTCACCCTCATAAATTATATCGTAGTCTATGTCACTCGCGTATGATGTAGCTGTATTTTTTTTTAATCGGTCCAGTAGTTTCGGAGTATTTCTAATGCAAACAAACAAACAAATCTTTCTTTTTGCTTTATAATAATTAGTATAGATAAGTATAGTTATATAGGTGCTGAGAGACACGTTATTGCGTTTCGATTATATTTGTTGCGTAAAATGGTCAACTTTGGCGTACTTGATCTTGGAATTAAAAATAAATTATTAAATGCTTTATTCAGTAATATAGAAAATCTATTTGTATAGTTCGTAGCTGCTACATTTTTTGTAAATAATGCTTAAAATGAAGAATAAAGTTAATTATACCTACTCAAAATACCAGAGAAAAATCTTCATAAAATGCACGATAGCTTTAATAAATGAAATGTCATTGATTAAATACCTACATATAAAAATATATTTTTTTTTATTAAAAACCAAAAATCTTCGAAAATAACTTTTTATGTGAATATCTCCCATCTACAATAATATTACTAAACAAAATTTGTACCTGAACAATTATTACTTCATAAGGAATAAAAGATTCGTTTTATTAGGCCCTTAATTTGATTTGTAATAGGACTCTTAACTACTTATGAGTAGGTATAAGTCTACTAATACTTGATAACGGATTTATTATCTAATTAAGTACTATGTTATGATTTATCAAATTATTTCTTACCAAAAAGTCAATTTTATAATTTACAAATTGTCAAAAAAATACGTATTAATAAATGAGACAAGATTTAATAAATTCATTTCAATAATTTTATCCAAATAGGTACATGTAAAAACTTTTACGTATAATATAAGTCAGACTTCCATCATCGCATAACATAACCACATTCAATACATCGACCTGATTCTCCTAAACAAAACACCATAGCAATCTCACTAACACGCACACTCATTCAAAGCCAGCACCAATTCAACAGGCTTTAAAACAAACAAGAATTAAATTATACAACCCGTGTACACGTACGAAAATCTCGGAAAGCGTTATTTATGGGTGCCTATATGTTGGTTTATTTATAAGAAAGCGCGGCTGCTGAGGGAGATGAAATTACGTGATACCATTCCGAATCAAAGTGAAATATTCTCCAGCTATTGTGGGTAGGTACAACATATTTCTACCTACAGGGGGTCTGGTGCTTAAAAATTTGATTATTGGAGTGATATTAGGTTTGAGCATCGAAGTAATACTACTTACTACTTCCATGGGTTTGTATTTATTTTGTGACTGTGATATCATTGCATGACTTCTGAGAATGCAGCTACCAATATAATATCAGAGATGTCGCATTGAGGTCTGTTAGATTATCTATTCTTCTGTTAATAAGTTGTCTGAGAGAAGTTATTTGTCTATAGCTATTATTTAAAGTCAAAATCTTAGCTTCTTTTTGAGCGACAATTTCGTAATATTCAAAATTTTAGGTTCTACCACAGAAACGTCTTGTGTTCTGTGGACTCCACACAAATGTCATATTAATGTTCAAACAAAGTGCATGATTCTATTTTTAATCTAATCTATTTATTGAAGCTAAAACACACAACATCACATGCATTGCTCAGATTCCCTCCTAGCTAAAGACCCCTATAATATAGTATCTGAGACAACAAAGTACTACAACACCCAGACCCAAGACAATACAGAAAAGTCCTTTTTCTACATTGACTCTACCAGGAATCGAACCTGGGACCGGACTAGAGATGGCGATACCTTGAAACCGGCGTGCGAACCATTCAGCTACGAAGGTCGATATGTCAACGGTTCATCAATACACACTAGAATTCCTCATAGTGAAAGGAACCAGCGAATAGAGTTGTTTTTTGTTCACAGTATTATATTCTCTTCTCTAACAGTAAAATTTGACCAAACTATTTTTACGATTAAAAAAAAACACAACCTAGGGGAAACTACGTCATATGCGTACGGGTGACATAGAAGTCGCGGCAAGATAGCTAGGTATCTTAGAAACAATTTTTCTGTAATAAATCTATTACATAGGAGGAAAAGATATCACAGACGAGATACAGAACTAGTCGATCCTGATAATGAATGAGCCATAGAAATCGCCTAGACGTCGTCGATCAGTGTAAATTAGTCATAGTCTACGCTGTATTTTTAACAGAATAGGAAAGCTCATAAGATAGTTACTATGATTTCATTTGAGAAATGTCACCCATTAAAATCTATCCCAATAACTCATACCAGCAGTCATAAAGCTCAATAGCTCAAAATTTCCCATACATACACACATCAAGGCGAGATCAATGTCAAAAGAGCGCGGGCTGAATAAAATATAAGGCCGTGAGCACAACGGGCGATGTAACGCGATTGATAAATTTACCGACGTCTCACATGATATTACGGGGTGGCGATGCGTTCCCTCCGCCCACCTCCCGCCAACCTTCTATTATTATGCTGGGCAGGTCGCGACGTATGAATTGGGCAGGGATGCCGCTCGAACTAGGTCACAGCTTGAGAAAAACGAAGATTATACTGTTATAATTTACATGGTTATGTGGTTATAACCATTTCAAAATATTGTCGTGGGTTCAAAAAATAATTAAACGAATTAATTATAGTAAATTTTACACCTTAAGAGTCTTTGTGTTTAATATGCAATAATTATATTTTTATATTCTAATTGAAATATTGTTTATATTATGACTTGCTACCTCCACGATTTATCGTTGCCGTGAAAATTACGTAAGTATTTCAACTATTACAATGTACCGTGTAACAGTTCATTATTAACAAATATTATATTTACTTTTAAATATTGAAGGCATTCTAAAGTTTCAATTGTTATACACAGCATAATTGACAACAACCCTTTTAGGGACCTTTTTGTTAATATATATTTTTAAATATAAAAAGAGGAAGTGACATATTGCTAACAGTTTTAGAGCTTTATTTTTGTTTCTTATTTCAATAATATATATTGCTATATATTGCCAATTGCTCCCGCATGCCAGCGATTTTCAGCGTTCTTCACCAACTTCTCCATCATCTACAAATTTCCCTTCCATACATCTCCCTCACGACAACCTTTCCCAGCGTTCTTCACCAACATCTACAATCACTATGGCAATGCTTGCTTCCAATAAAACAATCAATAGGGTAGTAATAAAATTCTGGTGAATAAATTTTACAAGCAAGTTAAATTTCATATAACAATTTTTATAATAGATTTGACGTAATATCAAACGTTGATAGAATTTCTTTCGGAAGATATCTGTAGTGGCAGCCCTGCGTCCACTGGCCCGTCGGGACGCCACCGATGACTTATCATTAATAACGACAGCGGAAATGTATCAAAAGGTGACGCGTGTCCCTCCGTCTGTCCCGGCCCTTATTTATGATGCCAACAAACAATATTTATTTTGTCTTATAGACATCTCACGCCATTAAGGACATATTGTTTCTACGAATACTACTGTATTTTGGATATGATGGACAATGTGTCCGTCTGAAGGGACCGTTGTCACGTGTATCAATTATAACAGTACATTAACTGTATACTTAAAACATACTATGATGAGGTCGTAGGAAACTCAGCACCTCAAACGCACGACGCTCAGAGGAGACATGATTTTTTTAGTCATTCATCTGATAACCGACATCAGTAAAGTTGCTTAATACACATTCATAGGCGGTTCATGTTAATCACTGCATCATCAGGTTCCTCAATACCTAGCTCACAAATTAATGTTCATATTATAAAGAGCAATAAAAGTTCATAAATTAATTAGTTTATTTGCAATATTATGCTCAGAAATACTGATTTCAGGAAAAAATAAGCAGCTGTTTCATACAAAACTGTAATACCTACAATCGCCAACTGTATGAAACAGCTGTTTTTTTGTGAATAATCAGTGTTACTCCCATAGTAAAAATTGTTCAGTATACTTAACTATTCCACTCCACAAAATCCTGGCATATAATAATATTAAACCTTATATAGAGCCACGACACATCTTTCACGATCAAATCAATCACAATCTCTCAGAAGGAGATGTCAGAAGCCATAAAAACCGGCAAGTAAAAAAATAAAAAAGCAGTTCTTGCTGATTTTTTCGGTTCTGCTCGGTACAAAGTTCCCGCTCTAGATTTACGAACCGAAGGCATAGAGTTTCGAACTTCACAAGTGTTTGTAACAGCCTAGACTGAATAAATGATTTTGAATACGAAAGATGTATGTAAGACCATACATTGTGGCATTCGGTCCTCTCTGCCTACCCCGCAAGGGAAGATACAGATAGATATATATATAGATCATGTTACAATCAATATTATTGTCACATGGAATTTTTACTAATAGTGCTAATAGGCATTTGAAAAAAAATGCTATAAAAATATCGCGAATGTTATAGATAAATCATTTTATCAATCATTATTTTTTTTGATAACGTTAGGGTAAGATCGCACATGATTGAACATTCATGGTTTTCCCCGTATAATATAAATCGGTATTATTTAAAGATAGATAAAAGATTAATGACCGTCGACAAGAAATATAATTTTTTTTAACTTTATGTGAGTACATAAGTTTGTAGGTACGAGAGTAGGTAAGTTTGTAGGTGTTATTATTTCCTACCTAACCTACTATAACTTTTGTCAAAGTTATAAATATTAGTCTATACTAATATTATAAAGCTGAAGAGTTTGTTAGTAGCTCGGTGGCGTAGTGGATAAGCGCCGCGGCACGCGATCGTAGTCGTTAAGCAACTTTCGCAAGGGTCGGTCACAGGATGGGCGACCATAAATTATTATCTCGAGCTACTCCGTGCTTTGGAAGGCACGTTAAGCGTTTATCCCGGGTGCATTTGCAGTCGTTAATATCCTCCAATCCGCAATGGGCCAGCGTGGAGGGTCATGGCCCATCCTCCTTAACCATTCATAAGGAAGGCCTAAGCCCCTGCAGTGGGGACGTAAAAGGGCTGGTGATGGTGTGATGAGAAGTTTGTTTGTTTGAACGCGCTAATCTCAGGAACTACTGGTTCGAATTGAAAAATTATTTTTGTGTTGAATAGACCATTTATCGAGGAAGGCTTTAAGCTATTTATAACATCATGCTGCAACTGTTAGGAGCGGAGAAATAATGGAAAACGTGGGCGAAGTCGCTGGCGGCCATTAGTAGAGTTATAAAGTTCAAAAAAATTATCAAACAAATTAGCTTATTGATAACACTTTTTAATCGTCCTACATTTTTATCTACCACCTTATAAATGACAAGTAAATTAGATGCATGAATTTTGTCAGCTCTTAACAAAGACGTAGTGTATGTTTATATAATAGTATATAGCCACAATTCCATGATTCATTTTAATTAGCTTTGCCTTCATTATGGAAACAAACCAAATTAAAATGAATTCGATATAGAATCTTAATTGTTATGTTCTAAAAATAAATAAATTAGGTAGGTACAATTATTTGCTAACGCATTCCTATTACGTATTTGTATTAAATCTATCGCAGGGTAAACTCACCCGTGCCTGTCACGCACGGAATATGGGCATACAATTTACACAATATCGCCATACGTCACGGTGTCATGGATCCTCGCGAGACATCTACCCCAATTACTGCTAGAATTGTTTCACCGTCTATCTGTTATTTTCCTTACTCGTCTTGGGAATTCGGGGGAGTTGAAAAATAGTTTTCATATTACAATTTTAGATGCACGTTTGTTTTCATAAATTAATTGTCCATGACATGCATCATCACAAAGTTGGAATCTTCCATTTAGTTTTAGTTCAGTTTTGATAATATGTACGATAATGAGAAAAATATACAAAAATAAAAAACTCCATCTTTATTTTAGTTGATGGAAAGATTTTTGTATTACGTTTATGCAAAGAATGAGAAAATTAATACCCAAATCTTACCAAACCCATTTACGAATATAAAGCTTGAGTAAAGAAATTTATGTTACTTCTCTTTATCTACCTAAAAAATGTGAATAAATATACGTACACATAGACTCATCATACAATTTATGTCCTCCCATTTCCACTAATCTGACCTCGAGATTTCTTAACCCTCTCGTAAAGATGTATGGCGGAACTAACACCTAAAGCCTGCCTCCACAAAACAAAACCAATACACCCACCTATAAATCCAGTGAAACGTCCGAAACACTTCAAGTGTCTTAACCACACTGTCTTACGTATATCCATATGTTAGCCGAGAAAGGGTTAAGCAAATGCTACCTGGGGCAGGTGCTCCACCCACGCGGGTGGATTTACACCCCTCATTTGTTTGCGATGACCCCCAAGCACTATCTTGCGAGCGCTGTGTCTTGCTATCGTCTCAAGTT